TACTTACCCGTAATAAATACAAAATCCTAAAGCCAATGAACTAAAATTTCTCTCTCTTTCTTTCAATTCAAAGGTCATCTTCTCCCTACGTTTCTTCTACAGTAGAGTCCTACAACAAGATAATCTTCTTGACAGTTTCAAATTCCCCGATCTTTGTTCTCACTCTACTGTTACTCTCCGATGGCTCCATCACTATGTATTTTATTCAATTTCCCAAACAATGAAAAGTATTTGTCCTAAAAAGTTTTTCAAAGTGTTCCAAATGAAGTCTTTTAAAAAAATATTTTTTATAAAAAAATATTTTCTAAAAATGAAGTCTTTTCTGTAAATCAAATAGATTCTTAAACTTTTCTTTTAATTGGAAAAAGGAAACAACTTCAGTTTGTGTTCATTCATATAAATGCAAAATTCTTGCGGAAGATCACAGACAGCTAAAGAGAGAAGGAAGCATTGCTATAATTGTAAAAGAAATAAGGAAGAGGTTTGGGAAGATAAAAAGAAAATAAAACATTACCATGTGTAGAAAGATAGAATTGTAGAGACGAAAGGTTTTCTGCAACATGAAATGAAAATGAGAAGACAAAATTGAAGTCCCAGTCTGACCAGGTCACCCATGGGCCGGAAAGGTGGCGGATTGATGATGTGGAGGTGAGACGAGGACGCCCATACCTAATTTCTTCTATTTTCATAGCGTATATTAGAACCCTACTGAATTAGAAAGGGTGGGTTTGGTTTTTTCTTTTTTTTCTTCTTTTTTTTTCTAATGAAAAAAAAAGGGTGGGGTTTGTGACTTTGTGGCAATCTGAATTCCTAATTTTATAAGAAGTTAATAAAAACTTTCAATTTAACAATAAAGATTAAAAAAGTCAGAAGCCATGTCATGGCCAATTACAATGATCTTGTTGGACCTGCTACCATAATAACGATCTATCCCAATAATTATAGGACTTAAAGTAGACATTTATTATGTAATCTATCTTATAAAATATAAATTTCTATAAATATTGTTTAAGTCTTCGTAACTTAATTTTTTTTTTTTAAATGTTAACGATGATGGTGACCATATCTATAGTTTTTCACCCCATCACAAATGATTTGTCCAATTTCTTAAGGTTATAAAATTTTGAAAGGTAGTATAGGCCTGGGTCTATACCAACGGAAAAATATATCTGTTAGTATAGACTTAGTTTATACAAATGGTTTAACAATTATCCGTTTGTATACAGTGTATCTCACTACTGGAAAACGCGGCATAAGTGACAATACTATATTCGACAGCCACATTTCTGTCGAAAATGTGTACATAATCGACAGAAAGATTGACGAAGATGTAAAATTGATGATGATAATGGAAATTTCTTGTTTAATCGACAGTATTCATATTCGACAGCTTTTTTGTCGAATATACAAATATATTCGACAGCCTTTGGCTGTCGAATATGTTTATTTATGGGAACGACATCGTTTTTTCTGTATATTCGATAGCTTTTGGCTGTCGAATATAATCCTTCATATCACCCGTGCCTCACCTTTCTTCCCCATTTCTGGTTTTCCTCTGTGGCCGGTAGATCTGGTTTCTTCTCCGGCGAAGCTTGCTGTCACTGTTCTTCCGTAGCGCCCCCTGTTGTCCGCTCCGCGCCGGTGCCGGTGAGTTCGCCCTTCTCTCGGTCAATTGATTGATTTATTTTTGCATGTATTTTCCTTGCATTGTTC